GAGGTCTTGTGCCCAGGCGGGTCTAGAACCCGCGGGCTCAGGGCAATCCACTCACCTCAGCCTCTCAAAGGCGCGGGATTACAGGCTGAGCCACCGAGCCCGGCTAATTTTTGATTTATTGTAGAGATGAGGTCTTGCCAAGTTGCTAGGTTGGTCTCGAACCCGTGGGCTCAGGCAATCCACTTGCCTCAACCTTCCAAAGTGCTAGGATTACAGGCTGAGCCACTGACCCCGGCCGACAAAATTCCTCTAAGATGTATTTGTAAAAGCAAAGGAACTCAAATAGCTAAAATAGTTTTTAACAAAGAACAATAAAGTGTAAGAAATCAGTCTACCCAATTTCAACAGGTATTATATTGTTATAGTATTCAAGACTGTGTGGTATCAGTAGAGGGAAAGATGCGTAAATCAAGGGAACAAAAACTGTGAACCCGAAATTAGACCCACATAAATATGCACAACTTATTACTGACAAAAGTCCAAAAGTAATTCAGCGGAAGAAGAATAATCTTTTCAACAAATGGCAAAAAAGAAAAAAAAATAATAATCTTGACTTAAGTCTCACACCTTAAATAAAAATTAACTCAAAATGGATAATGGACTTAAATGTAAAACATAAAACCACAAAACTTTGGAAAAAACATGGAAAAAAATCTTTAAAATCGAGGGCTACTCAGAGTCTTTACATTTTACATCAAAGCAGAATCCATAAAATGAGAAATTGATAAATTGAATGTCATAAAAATTAGAAACTTTTGCTCTGTGAAAGACCTTAGGAGGATGAAAACACAAGCTAAAGATTAGAAATTATTTGAAAACTTTCTGCAAACTAGTCCCTTGTCAAAGGATTACTATCTGTAAAATATAAAGAACTTTCAAAACTCAACAAGAAAAAACAAACAATCAAATTAGGAAATGTGCAATAGACTTGAGGAGACATTTCACCAGGGGACACACAGATGGTAAATAAACATATGAAAAGATGTTCAACACGATTTGCAAGTAGGGAAAAGCAAGTTAAAACCAAGTATCACCACACATATCTACAACCCAGATGTCCTTTAATGCCTGAAAAGTTAAGCACACGGTGGCATGCCCATATTATGGAAAACTACTCAGTGGCTCAGCCTGTAATCCCAGAACTGTGGGAAGCTGAGGTGAGTGGCTTGCCTGAGCCCGTGGGTTCGAGACCCACCTGGGCAACTTGGCGAGACCTTATCTCTACAATAAATAAAAAATTAGCCGGGTATGGTAGCGCATGCCTGTAGTGGCCAGCAGTGTGCCACTGTACTTCAGTCCGGGCAACAGAGTGAGACTCCAACTCAAAAAAAAAAAAAAAAAAAAAAAAAAGAAGCAACTTACTGACACATACATATAACTTGGGTGAATTATGCTCAGTGAAAAAAGTCAATCCCGAAAAGTTACATACTGTATGATTACACTGATATAATATTCTTGAGAATGATAGAAATGGAAAATCGATGAGTAGTGGTGGGGTAAGAGGCAGCAAGTGGATGTGGCTCTAGTGGGCCAGGAGGGATCCTTGTGGTGACAGAAATGTTCTGTATGTAGCTGACTATATCAATGTCAGTACCTTGGCTGGGATACTATATTATAGTTTTGCAAAATGTTTCCATTAGGGGAACCCGGGTAAATGGTGTCTGAGACCTCGCTGCATTATTTCTTACAGCTGCTTGTGAATCTGTAATGATGGAAAATTAAAAAGAAAATTTTAAAAGTCTACTACACATTAATTCGTTAAAATTTTAAAAATGCACAACTATGCCTAGCTTCAGAGTTAGGGAAGCTATTGTATTGTGGAGAATGTATTACCAACAAGCTAAACAAGACAAAACAAAACAAAAAAAGCCAAAGCAAGCTCGCAGTAATTCTTAGTCATTCTCTTTCCCACTCTACACATGCGCTGGCAGATTCTGAAATTAACATGTGTGCCCTGAAATAAAAAAAATGTCATGGAATAATAATTCGAGACTGATCAGGATACAAAGCAAGAAGCCAGGATGCCGTATT